CTTAAACAAGCTCGTTAATTTCAATTAGTAAATTGCCTCGTCGGTAGGTTCGAACCTCGACCGATTGCTACTGTCAGAGAAAAAGAGTACTGCTACTGTCAGTAAAAGTTTACTGCTACTGGTCAGGTAAAAGTACTGTATGTCAGTAAAAGTACTGCTACTGTCAGGTAAAAAGTACTGCTGACTGTCAGTAAAGTACTGCTATTGTCAGTTAAAAAGGAAAATTTGAGAGTAGTTGTTTTCGACGATTAAAGTACTGGCTACTGTCAGTTAAATGGTACGTGCTACTTCAGTAAAAGTACTGCTATGTCAGTAAAAGTACTGCTTACTGTCAGAAAAAGTTACTGCTTACTGTCAGTAAAAGTACTGCTACTGTCAGAAAAAGTACTGCTACTGTCAAGTAAAGTTACGCTTACTGTCAGTAGCATACTGCTAGTAGCAGAGATTTTTATCTTTGTGGTCGACGGTTAAGCCAACAAACGAATGTCGACGTCCCAACCAACCGAGCCATATCCCAACCAGAGGACCTAAGGGAACCACAACAGTCTCCTTTCAGCAACCTCAGTTCCAGCAGTAAAACTCGATTTACTACCAATTTCCACCTCAATGTACTACCACCACCAATTTTGCTTTCCCGAACTACAGCCTATGCCTTACTTCCCCACCCTTGGATGTTCCAGCAAGCTCCACCCAGCAATTCCAATTCCAATCTCAACCAAATCGAAGAGAGGACCAAGAGTTCGAAGAAGGTCTGAACCGTTTACGCAAAAAGATTATGCTACTACCCCTAATGGAAAAGCACAGGCTCTCACTCTCTTCCCTCAAATCGACCGATTCATGACTCGTACCACAGTATTCGGTGCTCGTTGACCGGTGAAGGACTACCCTCAAGAGTCTGAGAGACTTCTTATCCATACAACCATTTTACAGTTGAGCTCTCAAGAACATGCGCAGATTACGAAGGTCAGACTACCAGCTGGAGAGCCGCAAAACAGGATCCTACTCGACAAGAGCCGTCCAGCTGCGTCAAAACAAAGACTGAGATAGTCGACTCGATACTTGCAGCTTGCGCCTTACAGAGAAATAAGAAAAATAACACAATTATCGACATTTAATACTATTTTCTACTGTTCTTCTTCTTCGGTGAGTGTGTTTTAGAGCTCGTATGTTTCTCTTGTAAGGAACCTTTCGTACTCTTCCATGGTCATTGTAATAGCGTAATTCTGAGACTCATCCTAATTGCGGTTCGTTGTCTTTACTGACCCTTACGTATATGTAACGCAATTCCGATTACCTCCTCAGGGAAGTTAAGCTGCATAACATTCTGACCCAAGTTTTCTCTGTGTGACTCGGAGTCTCATAAAATGTTCACGTTTTTAAAACGTTTATAGTCTTTTTAGGTCTTAAATTTACCCTTGTTTACCTCTTTGTCTTACCTTTTGTCTTTACCTTCGCTTGTTCTGCTCAGGAAGGGTACTGGTCAGATTCTAATTCTGTTCGGAGAGTACTTCACAGTTCAATATCTCTCGTCGTAACGGGAGTCTTCAGCTGTCTCCAGTTGGCTGTACCTCGGAGAACTACAAAGAGGAAGTTGTCACAGAAAGATCTCCATTGACCATTGTGCTCTTACTTGTTTTATCGTGTCTTATTTGTGGAAGTCGTGCACCCTATCGAGTCTTCGGAGATAGAACAAAAGGATCGTACCTAATTCTATGTATTAAACGCGTTTTGGTACATCTTCTCATGAGTCGAGTACATAGTTCTGCCGAACCATTTTGGAAGAGAAAGAGAGTACCCTATACGCTGGCAAAAGACATAAAAATAGTTGCCGTTAGTTGTCATTGCAATCTGTACTCGTAATTGAATTCATCTGTACTTCTCTTCACGGTACATTAAACTCCGCAACTATCTTGCTTTCCTGTAAGAGAGCTACACTCTACTTAAAGACTAAACACTTAGATTTTCATAAGCTTGACTTTTTACAAATTTGAATTTGTTGCTGAAATCAGTTTAAAAATATTAATTTTAGGGTCAGAAGTGAGATCAACCTCATTTCTACCTCTGATTTTCATGTAATTCTCCACGAAAATAAATCTGCTGAGGAGGGTAGTTCGGGAAGCCTTGTGGTGGGTAGTAACATTGAGGTGGAAATTGGTAGTAAATCGGAGGTACTTGCTGGAACTGAGGTTGCTGAGGAGACTGTTGTGGTTCCTTAGGTTCCTCTGGTTGGGATATGGGCTCGGTTGGTGGGACGTCGGACATTCGTTTGTGGCTTAACCGTCGGACCACAACGATAAAAATCTCTGCTACTAGCAGTACTGCTACTGACAGTAGCAGTACTTTTACTGACAGTAGCAGTACTTTTTCTGACAGTAGCAGTACTTTTACTGACAGTAGCAGTACTTTTTCTGACAGTAGCAGTACTTTTACTGACAGTAGCAGTACTTTTACTGACAGTAGCAGTACTTTTACTGACAGTAGCAGTACTTTATCGTCGAAAACCCTCTCAAATTTTCCTTTTTACTGACAATAGCAGTACTTTTACTGACAGTAGCAGTACTTTTACTGACAGTAGCAGTACTTTTACTGACAGTAGCAGTACTTTTACTGACAGTAGCAGTACTTTTACTGACAGTAGCAGTACTTTTTCTGACAGTAGCAATGGTCGAGGTCGAACCTACCGACGAGGCAATTTACCTAATTGAAATTAACGAGCTTGTTAAAGACTTCCTCAGGCAGAATGTAAAAGGCAAGCTTGTTAGCGGTTGGATAACGGGAAGGGCTGCCTTGAATCTCGAGACTTCGACTGGAATTCCAATTCAAATACCAGACGGGACAGCCTACGACGACATAAAGCAAGCAAAGAAAGAAGCTCTTCTCAAGTTCTTTGCAAAGCGTCCTTGGATACTACTTCCAAACAGAGAGAACCCTTTCCCAAGAATGAGCCAAATTCTCAAGGGTCTCCTTCACTTCTCGGGTCAGCCGTTCTACATAACCTGTGAAGGCGACATCCAACCAGTTCAGTAAACCTTAACGTTTAGAGTAAAAACATTTTTTTTTCATTTTTTGAATGAAGCAAGTTAAATTCGTCCCACACCAATCTCAATGGACCGATGAAGAGTTTCAAGCTATGGTTGAAGGTGTTGAGAACGACATAGACGGCGAACTTGAAGGAGCTCAAATCACAATTGCAACCAAAATTGCAGGAGTCAAGGAACAGATAGCTCCACTTAAAGCTACCAAAGCTACTCTTGACCTCATGGATAGTTACCGTTTAGATGTCAAGAGTGGAATAAGACAATTAAAATTAAAACTTCTAAACTACGAAGCTATACTCCAAAAGTTAGCAGAAATGAGAAGACTTTACCAGAGCTACTTACATGTAAGGGACTTACCTTCAAGCAGTCCGACCAAAGATGAATTTGTTGACATTGTCCCAATTTTGTCCGAAAGTCAGCTCAGATGTTTCGAACTGCTCCCAACATATCCGGAATATGAACGTTTGCCTGAACTCTTCCGCAATCTCAAAAAACGTTTTTTGGTTCTCATGTTCGAAACTTTTATCGGAAGAGACAACAAACGTTCAGAAGAAGAACAAGATATTATTTTAAACTTGTTGTATGACATAACTGTCATAACAAGCTTTTTGAAGTAAAACCGCCATTCTCAAACCACTTCATTTTTCGATGTCCGAACAAGCACCGAAGCCGAACACAATAGCAGATGTCCTTTCAAGGTTGCCAGACAAGCGCCCAGTTCAAATTCAAATTGCCCAATTGAAAGCTCATCTGACAAACACCATTAAGACTCTCCAAAGTAGTCTTATGACAGAGATGACCAATCTCAAAGCCGATGTCCTCATGAACCAAGCTTCCAATGAGAAATGCCTGAACGATTTCACGGAAACCTTGCGCAATTACGAGAGAGAAAACCGAGACCTTGCCAGACTCATCTACCGTTTCTTCGAAGAGATAGACGCCATCTGGAAGGTACTCGGAAAGGACAGAACATGCAACACCGTACTTCGTGAACACAGAATTGCCGAAGGTATTATCAAAGAAGAGGAAGAAGAGGAAGAAGAGGAAGAAGAGGAAGAAGAAGAGAAACACGAAGAAAAGGAAGTTTGGGCAACCCTTGTTGCCGATGACGCTTACGAAATTTCCCAACCCTACCCATACAAAATCCGCAACAGGGAGACCGGCAAGGTTCTTACCCCAGTCCTCAACAACTTGGGACACTTGAACCTTAACCTTCGGAATCGCGGTTCAATTTCCATGGGCAAGCTTGTCGCAATTCAATGGGTTCCAAATCCAGACAAGAAGACGAGGGTCAGACACATTGACGGTGACAAGCTCAACAACCGTAAGGAGAACCTCGAGTGGTTCTAAGAGTAAAAAAATTTTATTTTAGGGGGAAACCCCAAGTAAATTTAGGTGTTTATTTGGATAAGTATGTTAAATTAAGGGTAATTTGCAAAATTAGTTCCCGACCTTTGAATTGGGCTCTTTCGTTATCCCAGTTGCGTAGGAGGTCGTCCCAGAGGAGTTGGTAGAATTGCCAATCCAAGGACGATTTGTCCTCCCAGGCATTGAGGATGTACTGCTCGTAGAGTTTCATGACCTCTGCCTTGCACCAGACACCCTCTCCCTTGGAACGTAAGGCTTCTTCGAAGTGCTCGAATGCGATTGGCTGCGTGACCATCCGAAATGACACTTTTTGTCCGTTTGGTCAATGTTCGTGTCTCGTGCCATAGTCGACGAAAATACAGACAAACAGGTTATATATGAGTTTGAGACCAAGAATGGTGTAACTCGACCTGTCCGATTCAAAGACTCCGAGGGCGACCATGAAATTAAACGGAAATTAGCTAGGAAGGAATATAAAATGGACTGGTTGCCACCACCTCCACCTCCACCACCTTTACCTGTTCCTCAAGTAAATAAGCCTTTCCCGTTCCCAAGAATTCCCACATTTTAATTCAAAATTCGAATAAAAATTTTTTATTTCATGCAATGTTTTATTTCTGTGCCGTCTTCAAGTATGCCCCAATACTTACGCTTGGAGAGGACATGAACTTCGGTGAAAATTTTGTCCAATTTGAATTGACCCATCTTCTCACCGACCATGCCCATTTCAATGAGTTTGTTGTACCCTTCTTCGTTCGTCATGAGTGCGTCAATGTTCTCATAGTAAACCTTCACTTTCGATTTGACTTCGGAGAAGAATTTGTTGTAGTTGTCAAGGACTGCCTTTGCGAACTGAGGGTAAGACCAATGTTCGACAATAGGTTTTAATGTGGTTACTAAGCCACTTTGACCTTGAGTGAATTCGTACTTCAAAACAAAAGGAGAAGACCTTTCAACAAAGTTGTCGACCTTCTCATAATGTTTACTCTTCATCTCTTGAGGTTTCTTAATGGAATATCCCCATGTCGAATTCATAAGCAATTTGAGTGTCATTGCAAGTTTGGGGTTTGAAGCTTTCCTAATATCATACAGTTGTTGTATGACTTTTCCAACTGTATAGTTCCTTCCCGGGAACTCACCATCTTCGTTTGGAATTCCAGTCGGAATATATTGGACAAACCTCATGTATGCAGCGTTAAGGTCGACATAGTATATCTTTTCGTTTGAGTCGAACTTGTCGCAACCAATTGGTCCAGTTTGTGGAAATTCAAGTGAGTCTCTTATCTTCTGAGAAACTTCTCCTGTTATCTCATAAACATCGTCGAAGCAACCTGTTTCATATAAAACCTTCTGACCTAACTCAGAAGCTCTCCAATACAATTTGACGTCAATTGGATGTCTCAATGGAAGTTTGTTTATAGCATCTTGAAGTTCTTGCAACCTCATTGGAAGTTCTTCTGGTTCAGGTTGGTATCCGAACAATCCAACTCCTTTTGGAATTGTGTACTTCTTTTGTACTAGAACTTTGTCTGGAACAACTTTTGGTCTTGCTAACAGTGAAAAGTTTGTTTCGTCTTTTGGTACAAAAGTTTCTGTCAGCTTGTCATCTGGAATTGGTTCCAACAAACCTTTCTCGAAAAGAATGTTTACAGCTCTGACAATGTTGCACTTGCCTTTTCCGAACAATGGGTTTGTAAGACTTTCGTTCAACATGAAGTGGTTGTGGACAATTGCAATCTTCAACCATGGTAAATTGAACTCAACAACATAGTCGTCATGTGAAGAACCTTTAGCTGTAGGTATGTTGACTCGGATATTGACATTTGCCAACGGTGCAATTTTTGCCAATTGACCTCTGAGAATGTACCTTGTCTTCACACATGACTCAAGATACTTCATCTTCTCTTCTGTAACAAGACCAGAGTTCCTGAGACATGTAAGAATGCAAGGTTCATTGACAATTGTTTTCAATTGAATTGTAAATTCCATACCTTGTCAAGTCAATGTCAGACTTATTTATGAACGGAAAGTATCCAGCATGTTGTCTGACTGCTTGAGGGTTAGGTTGGTACCATTCGAACTTGACACTTGCAATTCCTTCAATTGCATTCAAAATGTCTGAGTCGGAGTCAACCATTTGTTCTCTCTTTGTAGTCTTGAAAGCGTCAAGAAGTTTGCAGCTGTTTGTTCATTGCCATTTGCAAAGTAAATGTGACCATCCAAATCTGTTATGGTCAATCTGAGATTGTATCCTTTCTTATTTCCGTCTTGTATGGCAGCAAGTACACCCATGAAGCCTTCTTTGTTCTTTCCTTCGTCAAAGTTTACTGTAAAGGTTCGACCAGATGTAATTTGACTTCTAACTTCACGATTACTTTTCATATGCATATCTTGTTCTTTCCATGGGAGCATGACCATCCTCTGCACTACCTTTTTTCCTTCTCAAAGGATGCAATTGTTCGTCATGTTTCCAGTAGAATCTGGCAAAGCCGTCGTGTCCTTCAACTTGAGGTTCACTAACATCGAAAGGCATGTCCATAAGACGTTCTTTCTTCTAACCTCTCTAGTCTGTTTGGATAATTTGCACGTGCTGTTTCCAAATCCATTTCGTAGCGAAGACCAGCCAGTTTGTCATAGACTTTTATGGGTCTTCCCTTCCTATATTTAAATTCTTCGAAACTCTCCAACCATATCTTTGCAACTCTGCTTTTATTCTAGCAGATTTTCTATCCATTCTATATGGGGGCATTTTTATAAAAATAAAAAAAATTTTTTTCTTTACTTTACATAACCGCCTGCTGCCATAAGTCTTTGACGCCAACCCATACCAGCTAATGAAGGTTGACTTGGTTTAGTTTGGAAACTAAACTTTGGTTTTGGTTTATCTTCAGTTTTTGGTTTCTCTTCTTCTATCGGTTTTTCGTCACTTTTCGGTTCCTCTGACTTTACTCACTTGCAGGAACAGTTGTGTCGTCAACATCTTCATAAATATCATATGCCATTTGTTTTTGTTTTCCTTTCAACTTTTTGTGTTTGTTGTAAAGTTTAGAATATTTCGACTCTAAGTCAATGAGATGTTCTATAATGAACTGTTGGTCAGTGAAGTAAACTTTTCCATCTGTTGTCTCGAAAGCTCCTTCAGACTTCAATATTTTATTTGTGAGAGTCTGTTTCTTTTTTGAGATACTAGCCGTTCCATTTCTATGAAAAGTGACTTTATAGTTAGGGTTTGTATTTCCAGACCTGGCACTTTCTATTATTGAATTTTTCTCTTCATCTGTAAGTTCTTTGACAGGTTTTGACAATGGTTCTGAACTTTTTGTTTGTGGTGTCAAATCTACCGTTTCAACTTCTTCGGTCATTTCATCTCAGTAAAAAATTTTAGTTTGGTTTGTTTTCAACTGGTTGTTTTGTTTTTTAAGTCGGTCTAAAACTTCCTGAGGTATAGGAAGAACTTGACAAACACGTTGTGTAACTGCTGGAAGTCGACAAATCCATCTTGAACCCATTTGTCTCAATGCTGTATTGTTCATTTCATCTCAGTAAAAAACTTTACATTCCCCAGTTTGAGGCGGTTGCGGTTGGTTATTGTTTACCCACTGTTGTGCATGGTTATATCCTCTGTTAAAGAATCTTTCACCTTGGTCCATATAGTGTCCTGCTTGGTTATAGTAGTCATTTGCTTTGTTATAATAGTTTCCTGCTTGTCTTCCTACATTGTCCATCCATCCTTGAACTTTTCCTCTTGTTTCAGGATTTGGAATAAGATTTGCTGCATCTCGTGCTACATCCCAACCTTTCTGTACAGTTTGTATAATAGGTTGTGCTTTCTCTTTAAGTATACCTAATGTACTCAAAATCTTCCTTCCAACTCCAAATACACCTCTGGCTATTGTTCCCACTGCGGGCAAAAATCTGGATGCAACTCCTGCTAATGCGCCAAATAAACCCATTTCTTATGGGTTAAAAAATGACGAATCCAAACAAGGACCCCTATGTTTCTAAGCAACAAAAAAGCACTCATGATAAAAATCTTTAGTTCAACACCAAATGCTTGGTTTATGGATATCTTGGAAAACATTCCGAGGTATAGAGAAGATGGACCACCATACTGGCTAATATTTGTCGGTCAAAACACAAGATACTGTGAAGCCATACCATTACAGTCCAAAAATATTTTAGATATCTTAGCAGCTTTGACAATATTCGTTGACAAATACCATCCAACAAAACTGACATCTGACTGTGAAAGTTCTTTCAAATCAGATGATGTAAAAAACTATCTGCGTTCAAAAAATGTAAACCAATATTTCATTGTCGACCAAAACCATTCTGCTCTTGGTGTCATTGACGGTTGTATAAAAATGTTAAGAGACTTAAACCAACCACAAGGTGGTGAAGCAAATGAAATGTCATATGACGACAAATATAGACACTTCTCCATGGCAAAGATGAGACAAGTTTTAAATATTTACAATAGCCGTAAACAAAAAGGTTTGGGAAACCACTCCCCGAAGAAATGAAAAACAACCCTGACTTAGAGAAAGACTATATATTTAATAATTTAGTCAAAAGAGACAAACAAGAAAGAATGCCGGGCTTCAAACTTCAGAAAGGTGACAAAGTAAAAATAGAAATACCTAAACGCGACCCATATGAAAATACTATTGACTATGACAACAATGGGAACCCGACAGGTACTCACATTCGTGTTCGTAAAAATAGAAGAAAGTATACAAGAGAATATTATGAAGTTTTAGGCAAACATGGCAAAATGTACACACTGCAAGCAGAAGATAAAACTACTATTGTCAGACCTCGTTTCAAACTTGTCAAAGTTCAAGGTGGTATACTTTCAAAGACAGTTCCTAACAAATATAAGACAACTCCTGACGAATATGCTAAAGAAGTTGAAAATGACGACTAAGCATTTCTATACCATGCGTAAACTGTCATGTAAGGTGGCATGTAGTCTTTACTTTGTCCCGTTGTTTGCGTATATCCTGAAACGCGATGTGTATGGTTTCCTCTCCCTGAGTGTTACTCCAGTAACAATTTATAGCAAACTTAACGTCGTCTTTAACATCATATCCTTTACCTTTTGTCATTGCTGACCAATCCCAAATTATGCTTATGCCAACCTGCTTGAGATGTACTTAAATCTATGTAGTGACTGTGTGCAGGTAAATTTTCACCTGAAATCGTTTTACTTCCACCTGTTTCCTTTGAAGAGTTTGCACAATACAAAAAACCTGTCGACTATTTGAGTCCAAGTTCCAAAACCAGAACTGTTTCTGGTCTGGTAGAGTTCATTGACGTATAAATAGAGCCTATAGGATATAATGTTTGAAGTATTTCTGTCTTTAATGTTTGAAGCTCTGTTTTGTCTGCTTTCTTGTCATATAAATCTTGAGCAGTGAATTTAATATTATGTTCATCCTTCATGACATAAACATCTTTACATCTAATGTTTCTCATCGTCGTTATGTCGTCATCCGATGTTAAACCTTGTGGAAAGTTAGGAGGTTTACAATATAATACATCCCCACCAGTTACGTCAACCGTTCCTTCAATACTTTCTATAGCAACAGTTGTAAAACTTGTATGTGTATGGTTCTTATCTGCTTTCTTCTCTAACTCATCGTTAACATAAGTTTTATCTGCTTTAAGGTCTAAACATCCTGAAACCCATCCTGTATCGGCTTTAGTTTTTAAAATCTTCGATGTCCATTCATGGTACCAGTCAACCCTTTCTTTCATTCGTTATCTTTTTCATCCACATATTCCTTATCTGCCTTTCTTCTCTAACACACTAGCCATAAGTCCCTTATCTACCTTATTTTCAAGGCTAACGTTTAAGTCTGTTATTTCAGATATAGAATGTGTATGAGTCTTTTTAGAATATTCGTTTTCAGCTCTGTCACTTCACTTGACATTTTATTGTCAACATATGTTTTGTCTGCTAGTTCAGGATGAGTATGTTCTTTTGTTGCATAAGCATTGTTAGCTCTTTCTTCTTCTTTTGCTATTGCATCGTCTACATATTCTTTGTCAGCTTTGTTGTCAACATCTGCTTTCAAAAGAAGTTCATTTATAGGTTTCTCGTTTAAAGTTCCTTTTGTTGGATTTATACAGACAGTATGGTTCTTATTGTCTTGAAATAGAAACTCATCTGTCATTGGGTTAATGTCAGTTTTAAGTTTCCTTCTTTCAATGACTCAGATATCTTAGAATAGTTTGAAAAGTTTGTTGTGTTCTTATTTAGAGCTTGCATAATGAGTTGTCGGTTGTGTTGTATTTCTCTCATGGAAGCAATATCTTTCGACATTTTTATTCTAGATAAAATATGCTTCCAATAGAAAAAAGAAAATTCAAGAGTTGCTACAACTAAACCATTAGATGAACTTTTTACTAATGTCGGTCAAAAGTTTGAGACAGAGACCGTAAAGCATGAAGGCTATCGTTTTGACTACCCATTAAGATGGCTAAGAGACCCATCTGTCACAAAAGCTATTGGCTTTCGTAGAATGAAGTTTGTGTCTGTAGAAGATAAAAGTTTTCCATTTATTGTAAGGTTTCATATAGATTATATATCTGAAGGGAAACGAAAAATGTGGGAAGAAATTGAGCTAATACAAGTTGACCTTTCATCTTCTCTACAGACTGCGTTAAAAAATATAGAAGATAAAATAAATTCATGTTATGCAAAATATGCTGATGAATATGCAAATACCGAGAGCACACTTTATGTGAGAATTGTATATGACAAACAAAATTCACAAGTGTCATTTCAAATCTACGAAGACAATCCAAAGAAAGACGAACAAATATATACAGAATTCACTGCAATGTCATGGTATTATTTGCAAAGAATGTTAAATCAGAAAGTCGAACTTCCTTTAGCAAATATTTACAGTCGATATGCAAGAGATGAACCATATTTATTTAAAGATGTTTTCGACCCAGCTGCTATTATTGTTCATGCTTCATTTTCTGGCGCCCAAAACTCTTTCTTATGCTTGGCAAATGACTTTTACGAAAAACCTACAAAGTTATACGAACCACCAAGTGGAAGTATTTCAGACTTTCAAGTATGGTTTACTACAGATGGAAGAAAAAGAATAATTCCATTATACCATGCGTTTTACTTAGAACTTAGTTTCATATACAACTACTATCGAACGGTAAAAATATAATTTTTTAATACGGTTGAGGTGTTGGATTTGGTTGCCAACTAGACTGTGGTGCAGGTTCAGGCTGTTGTATAACAGGAGCTTGTTCTTCTGGTTCAGGGTCTTTAGGTATAATACCAACGAACTGACCTACTCTTTTACCAATATTTTTGACTCCGTTCCAAATTCCTCTTCCTACGGTTTTTATTCCATTCCATATACCTCTTCCAACATTTCGAAAGAAGTTTCCTATCTTACTGAAGAAACCCATTTTACTATATGTAAAAATCTAATGTCCGCCTAGTCTTTGCGTTTCCTGTTGAGTTCCATAGCATTCTTTAACTGGAGCTCATACATTCTGTTTCTCCTCTGGTAGAAAACATATTCTGGGTCAACTCTGTGTTCGCGTCATCTGCATAAAGTTGTTTATATCCCACTTCAGGGTTTGTATAAAACTCTTTCCATCTCATATTTGCATACCATGGTGGCAAACCTAACGCAGCGTCATTTGACATGGCAGTTTGCATTTGTACATCTGTTGGCACTTGACCATAGTTTGCCATTGCAGTTTGTATTCTAACTTCATTTGGAATATTCTCTGGGTTTGGTTGTCCAGGTTGCTGTGCATTCGCTAAGTTCTGTGCGTCCATTTAATATTAGATAAAAATATCTCTTACGAGTACATATACTGAACATTTGCAGGCATTGGTTCATCTTCATATTCTCTGTACTTTTCTGCCACGTCAAATAAATAAATGACACAATGGAAAAAACCTAAAACAAGTAGTCCTATTTCAAACCACATTTACTTACTAATAAAATTTCTTTATTTGTGACACTTTCTCCAGTTATAGGACCTCTCTCATATTCTATCTTGTCATATATAAACTCATAGTCATGTATGTCCTCTAACCATCTCATAACGGTTTCCAAACCACTTTTATCGGATGTAAAGTAAAAGCATGGATGGGTTATGTAAAAACGTCTAAAGTTTCTAAAGAGTCTCTCAAAGTCCAGTCTACTTGGTATTGAAAATCCCATGTGTTATAGAACGGGCGGGTCCACTATAAAGAAAACATTTTCCTTGTCTTTATATTTTTCATACAACTCTGTCCAATGACATCTCACAAACTCTATACCCTCAATATATTTTTCTATGTCCTCTTTGAAAACATTTGTATAGTTAAGATATAAAACTTTTGACATAAGTGTTTCAATGTCATGAACTCTTATAGCACCACTATATAATAGTCTAGCAGATATACTATCCCAGTCTATATATTCTGCTTTTTTCAAAAACCTCTCTCACAATATTTTTGTTATCTAATGGTATACGTTCCATCTTACCTATAGGTATCTTTTCTTTTAACTCTTTCAATATATTGTTTGTGTCTGGAATATGTTTGAGACGGTCCATATAGTTGTCGAAGTCATTGCATATAATCTTTGAGTCTGGGAATATTATATGGCACAAATGGGATATATAGAAACTTCCACCGAACAAATCTACAAATGTTAGACCATTCGGTAGTTTCTTAAGTTCTCTCAATATAATATCTTTACATTTACTCTTATTTCCAAAGAACGGTAACGGAGGTTTTGTAAAATTCATTTATATATAATAATAAAAATGTTTTTACCCGAAAAGTGACAGAAAAGTGACAAAGCATGAAAACATATATAATTTGTGAAAAGCGAAACATTATATAATGTTTTCGACCCAGAAGAAGGCTTCTTCCCAGAAGCAATGGAGGAAGAAGAAGAGTCCTCCGAATTCACACCAGAAGACTAACAATTTTCCGAATAAAAACTTCATTTATACTAAACATCTTCAGGGCTAGAGGGCACGAAGTGCCTGGAGGCCCCACTACCTTTTTTTTTTTTTTTTTTCACTACCTTTTTTTTTTTTTTTTCATTCAGGATTTAAACAATGTTTAATTAATCGCGGAATATCTGACATCATCTATATATAGCTTCTTTTAAAATTAATGTTATTATGTTTGGGCTGAGTGTAAATGTCTTACAATTTTGATATTTTTTAAATCTTGATTTATTCAAAAACGTAAGAATAAAAACCGTAAGAATCATACATTTTTTACTTCATATGTTAAAAAAAATGATACAAAATCGTTCAATATTGTATGAATTCTTACGTTTACAAAAAAAGTCACACAACCCGTACTCATATACTACTGGGAATATCCGGCAACATTTTATATCATTTAGAAGAATTATAAAAAATTATATCTAAATTGATATTTTGTTATTCAACTTTGAATAAAATTGAAATAATATTGAAGAATATGAAAATTTGCAAAATTGTTTTATTAATCAGATATATAATAATAGTATATACTCCTTATAATCAGCTATTTGAGTAATTGATATAAAATCATCATTATTTTATGGAAGAGGATGATTCAAGTCAACTCGAGTCAGAACTAAAAGAACTTGAAATGAAATATAGTAATATGCAGAAAGATTATGACGCCAAAATTGCACAAATACAATCAGAAGTTGAAGAATCAAGGACTAATTTATCAAAAGGAGATTCTATCATATCAAAAAACGCTTTAAAATATTTCGACATAGTATACAATCTTAAAAGAACAAGCATAGATTGAAAAGATGCAAAATGAAGTACAAAACTCTAAAGTTTCAATTCAAAAATATATTGACAGTATGAAAAAGAAAGAAATTTCCTTCCATGACAATATATTAGAAAAAATCACAGAAATATCTGAAAGGATTCCAAAATGTTCAAAGAATATAAGACAATTACATCATAAAATCGACCATATAGATGAAGATAATGATAAATTTTCAGAAATTTATCAACAATATATTTACTGCATTGATCATCTTGTACGATCAATTTGCTTCCTTACAGATAGTCCTATGGATAGTTGTCCTGATGTCCAACGTCTTATTGATTCTCCAAAATTCCTTGAAAAGTTTATAGTTGAATGCGAAGAAAAATTAATATCATACGATAAGGAAACAAGGCTCAAACTAACAAAGAGCACAGATTCTTTGTCTCGGCTTCTGAAAGTCAAAAATTCTGAAATTAATATTCCACTTGCGACAGTTTTATCAAATCTTGGTGCTGTTTCCTTGGATGTTGTTGAAGGCATGGAATTACAGCATAAGGAAATCGTGCGTAGTTTAGAAGAATAGATCGATTTTGTTTCATTTGATTTCATCAGCACCGTAGGCTGATAAAATCAAGACAATAATATTTTACACTGCAAAAACTTCGGTAATGATTAATCCCTAAGGATGTACTTACAATTTTCTTACATTTTCTCTATTGTAAACAGTTAATATTTTTTTGTTGGTAAAAAGTTATTATAAATCACTATTCAACGACTTATGTGGCTGGTATATTCTTTATTCTTATATACAAACCATAATTTTGTGGTGTTATTTTATGATATTTAAAGGTACGGCCACTCCCTTCTAACCAAAATTTTGGCCTTAAACTCCAGCTGCAGGCTATACATATTATGCATATGTAGAATACGTAGTTTGGAGAAAATCGGCAAATACAATCTAGAGTTATATAATCATCCAAAATTATCGAGAAAAATCTCTTAAATATCACGATAGTACAATCCAGTACAAGTAGAATATCAGTGCTATATCATAAAACGAGTTATATATCAATATAATGCCGTATATTTGATTCAATTTACAAAATTGGTATAAAATTGAAGCTTACTTTATCATGCACTTAGTACTAACAAGTTCAAGGATCTCATATGTCTACTACAATTTTAACATTGCATGTTGAAACCTGTAATATGAAAATAAATAGACTAAAAATCTGTTTTATACTCTTTTCATCGACGTGTTTTACTGATTTAGCTCATATTTGTGAACACTGTAATACATTTGTTATAAAATTTCATATTATTTGGTAAGATATTTGTGATAAAAAATATTAGTATAAAATAAACATATAACTCATCATATTATATGCTATTAAATAAAGTTGCGATACTCTTTCTGTTCTGAGTCATAGTTGAAAATTCCAAAAAAAAAATTCAAAAAAAGAAAAATGAGAATCAAATATTTGATTTTAGAATATTTTTTGGAAAACCAACTTGTTGTATTATTATCCAGACTTTGAAGATCAATCCTTTTGAAGTGCAAAATTGCAATAAGAAAATATCAATTATTTGAGGAGATATAGAAAATCTAAAATTTTGGGGTAAAAAAATTTGGATATTCCTGGCAGGTAAGGGTATTTTTTGATTCTGATATTAAATTTTAAATTTTTTCATTCTTCAACTTAAAGCTGATCAAATCTCAACAATTATGATAAAAATGATATATATCATACAAATTGCAGATAAATTAATAATGATTTTATTTCTATAACAACAAGTTAATATAATAAATGTACCTAGGTGTATTCGTAAATTCCTGGTAATGATTATTGATTATGATATCAAATAATAACAGTGTGATAAGATTTCAATTTTCAATTTGGAATGAACCTCATGAAATCCAAGTAATTGTTTGGCAAACAAATATAATTCGGTGAGAAAAGTCAAAACACTTCTGCAAAACTGCATCAATGCATTTTAACATCGCAATTTAATCTCTATACAAAAATTGTATTGACAGATTTACTGTATATTTCAACTGTGCATTTACTATTTGAATGTGATTTATATATCTGATTATCTAACAAAAATTTTGGTTGGATACTATCGAATCGAAATTTCATTTTTTAATTTATGCTTTTGTAAACGTAATTCTTGGTTCCAATCATTTTGGAAGCTACCCTATTACTGTGAATAGTTTTTAACGACATTTACTGAAATTGTAAAATATAATCAATCCAAAGAGAGATCATTCGAGTTAATATCCTATTACAAAGTATAGATTGCTATGTTCTGTTGCATTGCCCCAATGATGGATTGCTTAATAAAATACATAGAGAGACTTACATCTTTAAAATCGATCTGTTATAACGCACTGATGCATGACAGCCTTGTATATATATTAAGGATGTTCTGAAGACTTTGCAGATATTTACTCTACAATAAATTAGATTCTTATTTTTATATTTTTTATGACTTATTTTTGATAGTTTTCGTTCAGAAATTTTAATCAATTTTTAAGTAAACATATATCAGTGAGAGGCATGATGGAAAAGTGGCAATTCCGTAAATTTTTTTAGATGAGTCATAAACTAATCCCGAATTATGAATATATGGCTGCCCATATCAAAGATTATATTCAAGAGGGAAAGCTTTTTGATATTTTTGAACTCAAAGATTTAAAGGAAATCCTAAAATTAGCGAATTTAACATCAGAAGATTTTATTACTCTTCTTAAACAATCCGAATCTACTCTTGATGGAAATAAGTTATATAAATGCGCTCGAAGCACTAATGTTTCAATTCGCAATTACCAAGAAGTTATTTCAACACTTAAATCTGTTCGAAAATACATGAATTTTACGATGTTAGATGGAATTATTGGTTTTTTAGATGAAACTGATAAAATTATTTCAGAATCTACAGTAAAAATCCAAAAACTTCAAGCAGAGTTAAATTCCATTCAAAAAGCAAAACAAAAAAGTGACAACAAAATACAATTACCTAAATCCGAACTCAAAGAAAAAGAAAGTATAATATCTCAAATTAATGAAGAAAATTCCACCGATGCGAATATACTTAATGAATTCAAGTATCCAAATCAAGCTTCAAAAATTATTTGGAATATCAATACCAACAATATCACAGAATCCACAAAACAGATAATTGAACTCATTAAAACACAAAAAGTTCCTGTCAAAATGGCACTTTATTTAATCGATACTTTTTCAACACTTCGCGTCAAGAATATTGCTCAATATGCAAAATTTTATCAAGATATTTCAAAAGAGTTTTCTTTAATTATCAAACCAGAAAATGAAGATTTAGCAACATTATTATCCTATAAAGGCTTAAATTTTAAAGATTTCAAACCTCACAAAAAAGAAGAAGACATTCTAAATATCTATAAAAAAGATAGCCTTTTATATTTTATCGCTTGGGATAAAATCGATGATCTTAAAAGCAAATTCCCAAACTTGGATACAAATGAGAAATGCGATGATTTAACACCTCTTGAGTGCGCATGCAAATTTGGATCAGAGTTATGTTTCAAATACTTGAAAGATAAAGGTGCAAAATATACTGAAAATACTGCAAAATTTGCTTCTAAAGATGGAAATAAAATAATTTTCTCACAAATGCTAAATGACGGTCAATCATTTAAAGGCTTAGTCGACATTGCATTGATTCACCGAAATTACGAACTTGTGAATTATCTTTCAACAAGTTTCGATCAACATCCTTCTTCAGAAATAGCAAAATTTTTGTATTATGGGAATTTTGATACTGCATCATATCTAATTCAAAATGGAAATAGTGTGAACAATAAATTTATTCTCTTTCTTTTAATATCAATCATCGTTTTATGACATTCTCTTTCTTTTAATATCAATCATCGTTTTATATAATTCTCTTTCTTTTAATATCAATCATCGTTTTATAAGATTCTCTTTCTTTTAATATCAATCATCGTTTTATTACATTCTCTTTCTTTTAATATCAATCATCGTTTTATAGGATTCTATTTCTTTTAATATCAATCATCGTTTTATAAGATTCTATTTCTTTTAATATCAATCATCGTTTTATACGATTCTCTTTCTTTTAATATCAATCATCGTTTTATTGCATTCTCTTTCTTTTAATATCAATCATCGTTTTATGGCATTCTCTTTCTTTTAATATCAATCATCGTTTTATTACATTCTATTTCTTTTAATATCAATCATCGTTTTATGACATTCTCTTTCTTTTAATATCAATCATCGTTTTATGGCATTCTCTTTCTTTTAATATCAATCATCGTTTTATTACATTCTCTTTCTTTTAATATCAATCATCGTTTTATGACATTCTCTTTCTTTTAATATCAATCATCGTTTTATCACATTCTCTTTCTTTTAATATCAATCATCGTTTTATTACATTCTCTTTCTTTTAATATCAATCATCGTTTTATGAAATTCTTTTTATATTAACGAATGTCCACTTAGCATTGCAATTAAGCAAAATTCACCCGAAATTATCAAATTATTAATTGAACATGGAGCAGATGTCAATATTAAACTTATCAACTTTCTTTTAATATCAATCATCGTTTTATAAGATTCTCTTTCTTTTAATATCAATCATCGTTTTATAAGATTCTCTTTCTTTTAATATCAATCATCGTTTTATGACATTCTCTTTCTTTTAATATCAATCATCGTTTTATGACATTCTCTTTCTTTTAATATCAATCATCGTTTTATGGCATTCTCTTTCTTTTAATATCAATCATCGTTTTATGACATTCTCTTTCTTTTAATATCAATCATCGTTTTATATAATTCTCTTTCTTTTAATATCAATCATCGTTTTATAGCATTCTATTTCTTTTAATATCAATCATCGTTTTATAGCATTCTATTTCTTTTAATATCAATCATCGTTTTATATAATTCTCTTTCTTTTAATATTAATCATCGTTTTATTACATTCTCTTTCTTTTAATATTAATCATCGTTTTATAAGATTCTCTTTCTTTTAATATCAATCATCGTTTTATGAAATTCTCTTTCTTTTAATATCAATCATCGTTTTATGACATTCTCTTTCTTTTAATATCAATCATCGTTTTATGACATTCTCTTTCTTTTAATATCAATCATCGTTTTATCACATTCTCTTTCTTTTAATATCAATCATCGTTTTATGGCATTCTCTTTCTTTTAATATCAATCATCGTTTTATGACATTCTATTTCTTTTAATATCAATCATCGTTTTATTACATTCTCTTTCTTTTAATATCAATCATCGTTTTATATAATTCTCTTTCTTTTAATATCAATCATCGTTTTATTACATTCTCTTTCTTTTAATATCAATCATCGTTTTATGGCATTCTCTTTCTTTTAATATCAATCATCGTTTTATTACATTTTCTTTCTTTTAATATCAATCATCGTTTTATAGCATTCTATTTCTTTTAATATCAATCATCGTTTTATAGCATTCTATTTCTTTTAATATCAATCATCGTTTTATTACATTCTCTTTCTTTTAATATCAATCATCGTTTTATTACATTCTCTTTCTTTTAATATCAATCATCGTTTTATAAGATTCTTTTTATATTAATATCAATCATCGTTTTATGACATTCTCTTTCTTTTAATATCAATCATCGTTTTATAAAATTCTTTTTATATTAACGAATGTCCACTTAGCATTGCAATTAAGCAAAATTCACCCGAAATTATCAAATTATTAATTGAACATGGAGCAGATGTCAATATTAAACTTATCAACTTTCTTTTAATATCAATCATCGTTTTATGACATTCTCTTTCTTTTAATATCAATCATCGTTTTATATAATTCTCTTTCTTTTAATATCAATCATCGTTTTATTTCATTCTCTTTCTTTTAATATCAATCATCGTTTTATTACATTCTCTTTCTTTTAATATCAATCATCGTTTTATATAATTCTATTTCTTTTAATATCAATCATCGTTTTATTACATTCTATTTCTTTTAATATCAATCATCGTTTTATGGCATTCTCTTTCTTTTAATATCAATCATCGTTTTATGGCATTCTATTTCTTTTAATATCAATCATCGTTTTATAAGATTCTCTTTCTTTTAATATCAATCATCGTTTTATGACATTCTCTTTCTTTTAATATCAATCATCGTTTTATTACATTCTCTTTCTTTTAATATCAATCATCGTTTTATGAAATTCTTTTTATATTAACGAATGTCCACTTAGCATTGCAATTAAGCAAAATTCACCCGAAATTATCAAATTATTAATTGAACATGGAGCAGATGTCAATATTAAACTTATCAACTTTCTTTTAATATCAATCATCGTTTTATAAGATTCTCTTTCTTTTAATATCAATCATCGTTTTATTTCATTCTCTTTCTTTTAATATCAATCATCGTTTTATTGCATTCTCTTTCTTTTAATATCAATCATCGTTTTATTACATTCTCTTTCTTTTAATATCAATCATCGTTTTATGACATTCTCTTTCTTTTAATATCAATCATCGTTTTATTACATTCTCTTTCTTTTAATATCAATCATCGTTTTATGAAATTCTTTTTATATTAACGAATGTCCACTTAGCATTGCAATTAAGCAAAATTCACCCGAAATTATCAAATTATTAATTGAACATGGAGCAGATGTCAATATTAAACTTATCAACTTTCTTTTAATATCAATCATCGTTTTATAAGATTCTCTTTCTTTTAATATCAATCATCGTTTTATAAGATTCTCTTTCTTTTAATATCAATCATCGTTTTATGACATTCTCTTTCTTTTAATATCAATCATCGTTTTATAAGATTCTCTTTCTTTTAATATCAATCATCGTTTTATTACATTCTCTTTCTTTTAATATCAATCATCGTTTTATGAAATTCTCTTTCTTTTAATATCAATCATCGTTTTATAAGATTCTCTTTCTTTTAATATCAATCATCGTTTTATTACATTCTCTTTCTTTTAATATCAATCATCGTTTTATGACATTCTCTTTCTTTTAATATCAATCATCGTTTTATAAGATTCTCTTTCTTTTAATATCAATCATCGTTTTATGAAATTCTTTTTATATTAACGAATGTCCACTTAGCATTGCAATTAAGCAAAATTCACCCGAAATTATCAAACTATTAACCGAGTTCGGCGCTTCAAAATAATTATACCTTAGCACTTTCTAACACCCATGTTTAAATACAATCTATTTATTCGATAAAATTATTTCCAAATTGTTTTCATTGAAAAGCAATAGTTTTTGATAAATAATTCTTATAAAAATCATTTATATTAACTTTTTGGTTATGGATGCCCTAAGATTCCATAAAAATACTTGAAATATGTATTATTATGGTGGTAAAACTTTGGGGCTCTAGATCGCTTTCTATATCGAGTTAAATGATTGTTAAATTTTCAAAGAAATTCTGAACAGTATTCAAAAGTGTAAAAATTTAAAAATAGAATAATACTTTCCCATATTTCCACTAAAACAACCTTTAATTGAAAGTGGATATTATTATTTCACAATAAGTATGATATTTTCTCTACTTACACAAGCAGTCCTGCATTTCGAAGTTTTTATTTGGATTTTTGGATGTTTTATACATTTTTAAAAGAGGTATGCTGACTACCCTTGATACAGGCCAAATGCCCCCAAATTTTGAATATAGCTTCTATGCATGCTTGTGAGCAATGTTTGTATGAACATGCAGAAGTGTTTCTACAAAAAATATGAGAGAAAAGGGTAAATTTTTTTGATGAAATAGAATGTACATACAAATTAAATACAATCCATTGGGGTTACCTTTTTTCAAGAACGATTATTATATTGAAAAATAATTGTTATCGTCTGACAAGGGTAATTTGAAATTTAACCAATGTAATTACGATCATGTAAACATCAATTATTTTACTGTACGTTAAATTACCTTCTCAATTTTAATGAAACAATTTTTTTCATCCTCTGAGACTACAGTGTTTGAAATATCGCGTAATTTCCAGAGGCATGCCTCTAACTCTACCAGCACTTTAATGACATCCAAACAAAAATGACAATGATTAGAGATTTCATCTTAATTTAATCTAGATTTTTTAGAAATATATGATTTTCGGATGCCTGACAATTCTACAATCAATACTTGTTCAATTTAATTCAAAATTTCAGTTACAGATCCCCAATACAAGTGCAATTTAATTCCTTTTTCCAATAATTTTTAATCCTATTTGATTTTATATCGAATAGGAAAATTCTCAGCTATATATAACACAAAGCTACTCGATTTTCAATGATTTAATAAAATCAAAATTATCAAATTTATTGGCCTAAATTCATGTTTATAAAGCTTGTTACTCGTTTAAATTCGATACACACTTGATAAATATATCTTCCTTTCCTTATCATCTTTCTTAAAATTAACTATATCTCCTTGATATTCCAATTTATTTTTGAATTCTTCTATTCCAATTTATTTAATAGATATTTATTTATAATTTTTGACAACCATTGTTATATTATAAAAAATACTAGATAAAATCATATTTCATTTTCATTTCGAATACAATTGAGACCAAAAAGTTATAGAATTTTAAACTAATATAAGGGGTAACATTGCTATTGGACACTGCATTTGTAGTATGAATTCTAACCCCCATGAATGAGGGTCATGGTGGAATCACTTCTGAATATAGATCCGTATTTTTCCCAAGTGAGCGGGGTATCTCCAATCCCAGCCCTATCGTCCTCCCAGTGTCAGTTTTCAATATAAAATCCAAATTTTTTTGAAAATAAAAATTTCGAGAAATTTTTCTAATTTTTTTTCTTTGATTTCAATAATTCAAAATAAATTTGGGAGTAAAAAGACACTATTTAATGAAATTCATATGAGTGAATGTGAATAAATACTCTCAAAACATACAATTTATCTATTTTTTCTTTATATTATCAACTAATTAGTGATAATTTTTTTTGAATCAGATTTTTTTTTCATTAAAAACATAATATATAACACAACAATGATGCACACATACGTATCTACACATCAAAATATAAAGCTTGTTTTGGTCTGGGCATCCCAACCCAAAATTCTTAAAAAATTGAATAAAATTGAATACTTGGGGCTGGGATACCCATCCCAAAACCGAATTGAATTTTTTGAATTAAAGAATATATTTATGTATTTATAATATACATGTGATGTCTATAAAAAATACTAAATTCTAAAAAAAATTCAATTTATTCAAAACGTATACTAAGTGATCACTTCATTAGTAGGATCAGCAATCCTACTAAATGGTGAGAACGCCACTAACTAAAAAGGGAGTCCTTGGAGCTCTTGATCTCTTGTCAGTAGAGTTCATAATGAGGCATGGCATCTACTGATTAGAGATCAGAGCAATCCTACCTTATCTTCAGGAGCTACAAAGCTCCTAATCGTTACGAGAGGGAGCCTTGGAGCTCCTGAAGCTCATCAGCAGAGGCTATTTACCATTTGGGCCTCTTCTGATGAAAGATGCGAAACACGTCTACGAACCAGGAGCTTCAAAGCTTCTAATCCTTACTAAAGGGAGCTTTGGAGCTCCTGAGTCTCCATCAACAGAGTCCCAGATGGTAAATGTCCTTTGCTGATGAAAGATGCGAAACACATCTACGAACCAGGAGCTCCAAAGCTCCTAATCCTTACGAAAGGGAGCTTTGGAGCTCCTGAAACTCCTTTTACTATAAAATAGGACAGTTTTCTTCTGAGGTTCTCATCAAATCTAAGACTTCAGAAGAAAGCTGTCCTATCAATGTATACTTACACTCTCATGGACTACAAGTGTACAATTTTAAGGCAGAGATTATCCGAGGCCTCTCATCAAATGAGGGACCTCGGATAATCTCTACCTTAAGTAGTCAAATAACTTTTCTCACTATTTAGGAACAAAAGAACAAGAGTTGGAGTACTTTAAGGCAAGATTCTTCCGAAATCTCTCATCGAATGAGAGACTTCGGAAGGACCTTGCCAAATCCTTGAACGCCAATATCCTTGAACTGAGCTAGAACCAGGGAGAAGTAGCATACTATAGAGCACGATGGTAATCTCGGAAATGCTTATATCGCCCCAAGCACAATATTTAAGAAGTCTAACTCATATATACAAGAAGTCAGGCTGAATAGATATTGTGCATATGGTTTGCAGAACTCTCATGATATTTAAAATTCATGTTATCCCAAAAAAGGTGACACTTTGGGTGTATCGTCCATCCCAGGGATGCAAAAATCACATCACCTTGGATCTATACTTCTGAACATGCAAGAAAAACTATCAGCCAATTTTGATGAAAATGCATTAGTAATTTGTATATATTTTATGCACAGATTATTTTCGCCATTTTTGAATTTTTTAAATTTTTTACATATTTAGTTGATTTATTGGAATTATAAATCAACAAAATCTAATTATTTTAAGTTTTAAAATAATATTAATGCTTAAATTTCATATATGACAATAATGAATAAAAAAATTATAATAATCATCATGAAGTATGATTGAAATTAAACCATTCAGATTGTAATCCGAAGTTTATAATAATCTCACATATCTTGCATGTTTTAATAATACTTTCTCAATGAGCGAATAAATGATGAGTTAATACCAATCAATTAGGCTTTCTGAGCAAAAATATCTAAATTACATAAATGTGTGAATTATTTACTAGTATTAAGATAATTTATTCCTAATAATAATAATAATAAAAAATAATAATAATTATTTTATAAGACATACTAAAAAGTTAAACATTATGCATACCATGATGCTATAAATCATTATCGTATTATTAATTTTGCTATTTTGAATATGTCAGTAATTGAATATACGGGTAACTTTTTTTGGCTGATAGTTTTTAAATCTAAATTATTAACTTTTTTTGTACAGGTGGTTTTCCTTGTAATAGTTATAAAACATAAATTTGGACACAAGCAAATATTTCGAATTTCCAGGTGTCTATCGTCATGATCGGAACGATTTTCGGAAAAAAAGTCATAAGACGATTATTTTTCGGGAAAAACGTATCCTCCCCTTTCAACTCCGATTTTGTGGCGACTAAATATCCCATAATATGAGCACGTAACATAATTGCCCAAGTCATTTTTTTAAAGAAAAAAAATGGTGACTTTTTAAACTACCATTTGTAGCGGAAATGAAAGGTTTTGAGGTATATAACATTAATATGTATCCCAAAGCCTTCCATCTCCACTACAAATGGGAGAAACTTTGTCCGAAGAGTTTAACATCCGGACAAAGTTTCTCCCATTTTAAAAAGGAATTGGAGGGTAAGAGGTACATATTCATACTATGTACCCCAGCATTTAATCCAATTAAAAACTTCGAAATGCAGGATATCTTGTCTAAAAAATAAAAAAAAGTACTAAATATATTGATATATCTATATATTTAACAATTTCAAACAATAAATATAACATTCAGCTTAACCGCAAAACAACATCTTTGATTTTTTCGATGTTAATAGATTTATCATTGATATGAGCCTGATTCAATATAACCATCCATCCTTCCTTCATATATGATGAATCATCAGGATTATTTGGCTGATATCGTTGGAAATTAGCTCCTATTTCAGGATTAATCGAAACAACAACTCTTGCAGCGTCGATTGCTGTTTTTTGAATATTGGGATTCCAATGGTAAGAGCATTTATCAATTCCTTGCATTATCATTGGATATAATATTTCTCCTTGGCTTACAAACGAAACCATGAAGTTTCTATTGGTTATAACTGAAAGTGCAGCTGCATTAACTTTGAAATTTGATGAATTCAAAGCTTTATTGAGTATACTAAAGATGATTTTTCCACAATCTAACATTATATCGGATTTGAGGTAAGGCGCGATAAAGGTGAATATATTAATGAAGGAACATTCCTTGTTTGTATCGGTTAGTGGCCAATGTTTTACAATTTCCTGAAGAATCCAGATAGAAAGCGTGTGATCTTGAGCTACGTAGTATTCAGTGACCAAACTGAATGGTTCGTAGAATTCGTATGACATTTGCGATGTAATTAAAGGGAATATGATTTTCTTGTAAAGATCAAAAAATGGAGGTTTCAAAGGTGTCTGTTGGATTTTAAGGAAATGTAACATGAACCGTAAACAAGGTGCAACGCAAGGATATAATGTGAAGTTATCGTGATATTTAAGGATTTGCTTCAAAATTGATTGAAAAATCACTTGTCTGTAGCCTGAAACGGTATCAAATACGAGGAATATAAAGCTTTCGACAGCTTGTGTCTCTTTTGAATCAGGGCTTTCGAAAAGAGAAACATATTGTTGTATAAAATCTTTTGTTAATAAATCGTGAAGAAAAGAACTCTCTGAATTAGATACGTACTGGTATAGTATTCGATGGATGATTGACAGATGCATCCAGCTGTTTGTGTTAATCGGAATGCGAGAATCTGCGTAAATTATTGTTAAAGGAATAGGAGGGATTTGGCGTAATAAGTTTATCTTAATCATCTCAAATATTTCTAGGCGAACTTCATTAGCCAGATTTCTAAACGCTTGAACATTTATGACAGTATTGTAAATTTTTGTAAGATAATCTGCCTTTTTTGTACGCATACCTATGGTCTGTGGGTTGTCAAAATCAATTATTACTTTGCAGTACTGCAAAATTTCCATTAAATGAACAGTTGATACAGGAGCTAACAAGATAGAGTTATCTTCTGCTCCTTGTAACGCTGCTTGAACCTCAACCGCTTGAAGGGGAAGAGAGTTCCTTGCAGATACTGATATATTTGTCCTTGGATTTGCCCTTAATTTGGGAAGAGAGTTTGATAAGTTCTCTCTCGCAGGTGGAGCTGAAGGAGGACATTCTGTTCGTACTGTACTACTTTTTTTCTGTTGTTAGAAATAAAAACATACATATCGGTGTAATAAATTCTTCGTTTGGGAAAATGATATGAAAAGTTATTTTTTAACATCTTAGCATGTAACACACTTAGAAAGCAAATCAATAAATAACCTTAGAAAGAAAATTGTTGAAAGCTCTCAATGAGTCAGAAATTGTTTAAAATAATTTCAAAAAATTCGCAGACATGATTCAAATATTGAAAAGTGATACTGTTTTGCAAACCCATATTGTTATTGTATCATTGAGATATTTTTCTAACAATTCTGTTCGATGCGGATTGAAAATATATTTTACGATCATTTCAATTTAGTTTGATAAAGTTACATTCTCAATTTTCATTGCTATTTCGCTTTCTTGGACAAAGATTATTATTAGGAGGCAAAGAAAAGAATGATTTTTAAGTATCAAATCCATTTTATTAAGAATAATTTTAGTAGTAGTATATGACGGGTTGTGTGACTTTTTTTGTAAACGTAAGAATTCATACAATATTGAACGATTTTGTATCATTTTTTTTAACATATGAAGTAAAAAATGTATGATTCTTACGGTTTTTATTCTTACGTTTTTGAATAAATCAAGATTTAAAAAATTGACTTCTTACGTAAAATTAAAACTAAGTTAAATTTATTTTTTTTATTTTTTATTTTATAATAAATGAGTATAACAACTAATTCATTGAAATCTTTAAAGTTCACTAATTCAGAATTAGAAAATATTTTAGAAAATTTTGGAGACGGTTCTTATCCAACATATATGCAGAATGTGAAAGAGTTTTCCAGATTGTTGAATGAATTTAAATATAACGGACCAATTACTAAAAAGGCTATAATGAGATATTTATATCCCAAAAAAGTTGAAAAACAGGAGAATATTCCTCTTTATGGTCCAGAGGACCTGGGCTCAGAGAGCCCTGAAACACCTCCTGAATATTTTGAAGAAAAAATTAAACAAGATGAATATTATAACGATGAGATTGAGAAATTGGAACAATTAAGAAATGAAATAGATGAAAAAATTAAGGAATTGAGAAATGCTGAGAATGAAGTAGAGGGTTTAATGAATATCCCAGCTTCAGAATCAGAAGTTCAAAAATCACATGAGGAAAGATATAAAAATTACTTTTTGGAATCTACTAAAAATTTATTAGATGGTGATATTGACGAAACACTTTCAGAAGAAGGCACAAAATTTATTCATAAACATAAGTTACAATTTATTGACGATGGAGATTATCCATGTATATTACTTTCACCTCCTTTTGATTCTGAAAAATTCAAAAAAGCACTGAAAAATGTAACATATGCAACAAATACGATTAAGAAAGAAGACCATGATATTTACATAAATTATTATTTAAATAAATGTACAGGTGTTGATAAAGTTTTTGATTTGTTAGATAAAATATCAAAAGAAACAATTGGTACATATAAAATTTTATGCGATTGTGGTTTCATTATTGAAGATACCAATAATGTTTCATATGAAAGAACAGCACCGAAGGAAGACGAAGTTGAAAGGTCTATACCATTCGTTATTAAGAACATAAAAGATATGAAAACTTATAAACATTATATTTATTCATTTATTTCAGAAAAAATGGAAGCAACCCATAAAACATCATCTCATCATTTTATAGCTATTCATACATTCCTTTTCAAAGTTGTGAAATTAAATAAGACAGGAATTAGATTTAATGTATCAGGGTACGCATTCTTGAGTAAATTAAAATGTATTCGTCACGTCGCAGATGATAAAAATTTATGTGTTCTTAATTCATTTTATGGGTTTTAACCCTGGACTCTCTGAGTCTCGGACTTTAAAAAATAAACTTTATTTTTATTTTTTAATTTTTATTCTTACATAAATGAACAAAAACGGAACAGCTAAAATGAATGATAATCAAATTAGAGCAGAAGGTAGAAGGTTATTTAAACGCTTCTATAACATTCCTGATGGTGTTAATCCTAAAACTCGTAGAAGCTATTTAAATGAAGCAATAGATGCATATGAAGGTTTTGACATTTCATCAGAAAGTGAGAGGTTAGCAAGAATGTTAAACGTTAATATTGATTTTTATTATTGTGACCCTCAACCAGAAGACGTAGACATTAACAAGGTAGACTTTCCATTAGTGGAATCAATAATGATAGATCCAGAATTTGAAACAGTAAATATTTTATTAACACAGAGTCCATGTGGAAAACTTCACGCTGACAGAATTACAGGCGTTGAAGCACTCACAGGATATAAAGTTTGCCCCTTTTGCAAAGAAGAAGTTTATTCTATCCGTGATGATCCAGAAAGGAAAAACCAAAGAAGATTTTTAAAACATTGTGAGAAATGTAAAGAAAATAATGGAAGATTAATTCAAGACGTTCAGTTGCAAAAGACACAGCAACCATATGCACCACATATCACGAAACAGAAGATATATCAATGGCTATTAGCACATAATTTGCAGGAATATTATAAACCAACAAGATATTATATTACTTTTGACTTCGAAACATTAGAGACTAAAGAAGAATTACAACTTTCTGAGTGTGCAACTTTAAACGCTTACTTAAAACCATTCATGGTATCATCAACGGTTAAATTAAACGATAAAACATATACGAGGAATTTTTGCTTAACTTCGAGTGATTCTTTTATTTCTGATTGGATTGAGTTTTCAACGTTGAACTGGAATAGTGCATAAGAATGAAGTTTGGTCTTTCCATGTTCTAGCTAATGGTGTGCCATTATCATCATTCAGTGGTCTAGTTAATGAGTCCTCGTATTCTTCTGTGCATTCATTCACTCCATCTAAATCAGAAGCTTGAAGCATACGTGTAAAGAATATGTCACCCACTGTGGTCATCGCTTGATCGGGGAAGTTTCTGGAATCTATAGTGACCTGAAGACCTCGAAGCATTGATTTTCTAAAACCGTTCTTTGCATTGCATTCTTCGGAAATGTTAACACAACATCTGTAACATTATGAAGAGCGTATGAGAAATCTGAGCTGATACCTTCAGGAGTGATGCAACCTCCATTTAGTGAACGAACGTCAATATGTTGAGCTGGAATCATGAATGGATCTTCCTTACTAAATAAACGTGGTATTGCTTTAACTGATTCTTCAATTAAACCATATCCTGGTGTAATGCATTTATCCTCTAAAACTTCCATCTTTGTGCATGAAATAATAACGTCATCAACTGTTGCGTCAGCAGATGTAGCGGCTAAGCTTGTAATTAATTTGGTAGGAAGTCCGATTTGTTGGAATTTGCGATCATATTTATAAACATGATTCATAATCTTTTCATAATTTTCATCAGTTATCTTTTCATAAACATAATTTTGTAAATCAGCAACTCTTAACGGGTCAACCTGACAAAATACTAAAGTATCCCTGAAAACATAATATTTAAGAATGATTTCACCAAATGATTTAGGATAATCATCGAACGCCTGAAATGCTAACAAATCATTTACCGGAATAATCATATCAAAAGTGACATCAACTTCTTCATTTGCTCTCTTGAAAACTTCTGAAGGGTCAATATATTTACCACATACTGAGTTATCATATTTTTGAACATTATTATATAACGAATGAACAAATTTTTTAACTTTCCTTTCTGATTTTGGTTTATATGTAGTTAGTATGGGTAACTTGGGTACGGCGGCACTGCGTTCCACCTTACCCAACTTAACCTTAAATATTTACAAAACCGTCTGACACATAAATGACTTCACTAATGACTTCACTAACGACTTCACTAACATTTTCACTAACATTTTCACTAACGACTTCACTACTGTAAAAATAAACGTTCTCACTAACGTTCCCACTAATGTTCTCATTTACAAAAGTATTGCAGCGCTTCCCATTGCTGTGCTTCACACAATAGTTCATATTCTTCAGTATCGCTGCTGTCACTCCAATCGTCAGAGTCAAAGTCACTGTCAAAATAAATGTTAGTAAGTTTTGACAAAGCTAATGAAACACGCTTACCGTTTGTATCTATTGCTTTTATATATCTCCCATTATGTTTGTTGTCATAAACGCTCAAACTAACTTTACCCTTTCTCCCTCGTATCTGATAGAATGTATTTTCACGAGGAACGAAGAACAAATTCTTGAACT